CTTCCTATCTGCTGGATACCCTGCTGACTACAGTGACCAGTAGATCCAGTTAGTCTTCTTTCTCAAGGAGTTCACAGTCTCTTGGGGGATACAGACATGTAAACAACTAATGCTAATGCAAGTACACATGAATATTCAATAGGTGGAAACAGCCTTCGTGCTCTGGGAGCAAAGAGGGAGCATTTGCCTGAAACCTTGAACATGGTATAGAAGAGGCGGGGAAGGACATCCTCAATTAAGGAACAGTGTAAGCAAAGACGGGTGGTACGTAGTGCAGAGCTTGCTCTCTGAAGGGCAAATATACCAGTGAGGCTAATGCCAGGCAAGTTGGAGGGAGACAGAGGAGAGCCTGGAAAGGAAATTTGGGATCAGCCCATGCGGAACCTTGAATGCCAGGATGAGTGAGATGCCCTGAGAGAGGAGGTGAGAGAGTCCTGTGAACTACTACATGGGTCCATGTGAGGGAGTGCCCTTGCTCCCACCAAGACAGAAGTGTTCCAAGCTCACCCTTCAAACAAGCAGCATCTCACTCTCAAAGGTTTGCCAGCTTGACAGTTCCCTCTCTGCCATCTTTCTCTCCCCCAGCCAGCCCAGTAAATGGATCCAGATGGTCATTCCTATTTTTGGTTGGTATACGTGTTGAGGGAGGGGAAGCTCTGAACCCTATCAATCCTGACCCAAGCTCTCTGTGTAAGAGGAGCTTCTTCCAGGCCCCTGCTGTGATCCTCTGAGCCTGGAAGGCAGTGTTAGTCTTTGATGGAGATTTCCCATCTGTCTATGGGTGAAAAGGGAAGCAGAAGAGGCAAGGGCGCAGGCCAGGGAGGCTGTTTCATTGGGTAAGAACCAAGGTGATGTGAGTGAGAGCAGGGGCCCTGTACGGGGTTATGGTAGAAGATGAGCCTGGAAGAGGCCCCAGGAGGGGCAGAGAAGGAGCTATTTCTTCCTCCAGCTACCTGGTCCTCAGCCCCTGCTTCTGTACCTGCCCAGGCCAAAGGAAGGATGATGCAGGCCATAGGGAAGCAAGCTAGGACTCTGACCAGAACCGATACCCGGGCACTGTGCCCACCAACCTCCAGGAGCCCCTTAAAAAGTTTCAGAGCATGAAGTGAGAGTAGGTGACAAACTAGGGTCCTGCCCTCGTGTAATGTCAACCTATAAGTATTTGCCATTTTTTAAATTTAATAAATATTTATTAAACAAATATGTGCTTAGCACCCTACTAGAAGTGAACAAAACAAATACACTCTGCCTTCAAGGAGTTTCCAGTTTAGTGGGGGAAGTAAACACTACATAGATACAAATGTGTTATAAAGAAAAGGAATTTGGGGGACTGGGGTTATGGCTCAGCAGTAGAGTGCTCGCCTCGCACATGCAAGGTCCTGGGCTCAATCCTCAGCACCACATAAAAATAAATAAATAAATAGAAGTTATTGTGTACAACTACAAAAAATATATATTAAAAAGAAAAAAGGAAAGGAATTTCCCGGCTGAGGCTATAGCTCAGTGACAGTGACAGAGCACTTGCCTAGAACGTGTGAGGCACTGGATTTGATCCCTAGCACCATATAAAAATAAATGTAGGCATTCTGTCCATCTACAACTACAAAAAAAAATTAGAAAAGGAATTTCCAATGGAGATCAGGAGGGTCTTTCTAATTTTGACTGGAAGACCATGGATGAGCTCTCAGAAGGTAACATTTAACAGAGACTTGAAGAATGAATGGAGGTTAGCTGTCTTTCAATTAAGTCAGAAAGATTTCAGACATGTTGCTCAGAGTAACAGGAAAGAGTTTATTGAAGGGATAGGAAAAGGGAATGGGGACATTCTCAATGGAGGGAATGGGTCCTGACAGAAAAGAGAAGGACAATGTGCCTGTCCTGCACTACAGTTTTATTGGGGATCCCAGAGAAGTTTCCAGAGACCCACCCAGGTCCACCTCTGTTGAGAGCCACAGCAAAGCGGCCCCAGCAACCAGCTGATTGGCTCCCAGCAACGAGCTGATTGGCTCCTCTGCAGTGATGCTCATTGGGCTGTTTCCCCTTTCAGACCATGTAACTGCTCATTGGGGGATTCTTTTGGCTCCGCCCACACGACCCAGCCAATCGGCCTCAAGAGCAGTTGAGAGGCTGGCCGGGGGAGAGCCGGTAGTGGCAGTTGGGCTCTGAGGGAATTCCTGAAGAGCTCGCTTGGTACTGCGTGTGTGTTCAAAAAATAAAATTCGTTCCTGCTTAATAAGTGGCTCGTGAATTGTGCCCAGCCAGACTGCGGCACACCTCTTAACTTTTTTTATATTTGTTCTTTTTAGTTATACATCACAAGTAGAATGTATTTTGACATATTAGACATACATGGAGTATAACTTCCCATTCTTGGGGTTATATATGATGTGGAGTTACACTGGTTGTATATTTCATATATGAACACAAGGACATTATGTCCAATTCATTCTACTGTCTTTCCTATTCCCACGCCACCTCCCTTCCCTTCATTCCCCTTTCTCTAATCCAATTAACTTCTAATCTTCCCTCCTACCACCCTTACTATGCGTTAGGGTGTGCGTATCAGAGAGAACATTCAGCCTTTGTTTTTTTCTCAGATTGGCTTATTTCACTTAGTGTGATAGTCTCCAATTCCCCCCATTTACAGGTAAATGCCATAATTCCTTTTTTTCTTTATGGCTGAGTAATATTCCATTGTGTATATATACCACATTTTCTTTATTCATCAGTTGAAGGGCACCTAGGTTGGTTCCACAGCTTAGCTAATATGAATTGAGTCACTATAAACATTGATGTGGCTGCATCACTAATAATATGCTGATTTTAAGTCCTTTGGGTGGAATAAGTGGGTCAAATGGTGGTTCCATTCCAAGTTTTCTGTAACTCTTGACTTTTGACCGACAGGAAAATGATATCTGACTTTCCATGGCAACTCTAGGTATCTTTGGCCCATGCTGACCAGTTCTAATTGGATTCTTAACCATACATTCTTACAGATTTTATGGTTAGGAGGGACTACTGTTATCTCCCAGAGTTTCAGGATGTGGTCACAAGTCTCCCTCTTCAGGGTAACTTTGGTTCCTCCTATCAACATTATTTTGGGCCTGCATTTCTCCTGCAGTTAACAGGTAGTTTTCTGAGGGATGTAACACATCCTGTACACTGAGGCCAGGCAGGGCTGCAGATAAATTGCTTCTTGGAAAAGAAAGCATGTGGGGATCAGCACAGTGGGCCCATTTTATAGAAGTATTCTCTTAACCTCATGTTCCCACCGTTCACACCTGTCTTTCCCCTAACAGTACTACCAAATTTGTAGCAGAGCATACGTACAACAACAAATGTTCAACAGGCATATGGACTTACTATGACAGTAGAAGAATTTCAAGGCACAGATCTTTTGGGGAGCCTGTGGTCCAGAAGAGATTGGATAACTACAGTGACCTGAAGGAAAAGTAATGTAATTTATCCAACAACTCTATACTGCACACTTAATCTATCCCGTGCCCTGTGCTGAATAGTTCCCTGTCTTCAAGGATCACATGCTACACAAGGTTATAGGACAAGTGCAAACATGCTCAAAGAATTTTTAGTGGATTAGAATCATTTCCAGATGTGATACTTATGAAGCTTTTAGAAAACATCTGTTTGTTCAATCATCCAATACATCAGTAAACACTGAGTAGGCATCTGCTCTGCACCAGGAGCTGTGGTAGCTACTCAAGTCAAGGTCCTTAGGATTCCATAGCAGAGACAGACATACCAAATTACATTAAGCCAGGCATGGTGGTGCACACCTGTAATCTGAGTGACTTGAGAGGCTGAGGCAGGAAGATCACAAGTTCAAGGTTAGTCTCAGCAATTTAGCAAGACCCTGTCTCAAAATAAAAGGGCTGGGGATGTTGTTTAGTGGTTAGGCATCCCCGGGTTCAATCCTCAGTACCAATTTTTTAAAAATTGGATTCTTAACCATACATTCTTACAGATTTTATGGTTAGAAGGGACTACTGTTATCTCAGAGTTTAAGTATTATGTGCCCAAAAGCAGATAGCAAGCTTTCCCTAGATCAGCAGTGAAGAAGAGTAATTCAATGGGAGAAAGACCTTCCCAAAAGGTGTGGCTTCCACCTTCCTGAGTGAATTTGTTCCTTTAGCCTGATTTTTTAGTGGCTGCCTTCTTTCTTGTCTTCCACATGTCCCCTCCCCAGCAGATTTCATTTCCTGTGTCTATCTTGGCATCCCTCTAAATCCAAGACTCCAAGACTAAAGCCTGGCCTCTCTGTATTATTGGGCGTGATCTCAGACAATTGTTTAACTTCCCTGAGCCTTCATTTTCCCATTTGATGAAGGAGCGGATCACCTCGGGGGCTTGTGGTTCACTCCAGCCAGGATGATATTCACACTCTGCTGCACATAGTGCTCCTCCAGGCCTTCCTTTCTTACATGGCTGCATCCATCCCCCCTCTCCTGTGCCACCTGGCAAACATCAAGGCTCAGCTCAAATATCTTCAGGCAGGTTTCCCCTGCTCACACACAGGCACACACAAGATTACAGTCTGGCCTTCCTTTATACTACCATTACCTTGTGAGAAGCCATAGAACGAAAAGGCCAAGGGAGATATAAAGACAGGTTTGAGTCGTGGTCCCTCACCTCACCTCGAGAGCCACAGTTTCTCATTTGTACAATAAGAAAAATACTTAAATTTGCATGTCTAGTCAGTTTATGGGAATAAGAAACAATGTCAAGTGCTTGGCACCTAAGAAGTGCTTCTATAGAAAGCCTGCACCACACCTGTCAGGAGCCCTCAGTGCACTGAACTAGAGAGATCGTCGCGGGTGTCCGCGCTAGACTGCCAGATGCCTGAGGGCAGCGTGGACGCATAGGTTCAGCGGCTACGTGGTCCGAGGGGGCGAGGCTGGCCGGGCCTAGAGGGACGCGGCTCCAATTCCCGGGGGGAAGGCCTAGAGGCGCGGACCCCACCTCCGGGAAGTGACGCCATAGGGACTAGCCGCGCCGAGCAGGGCCGCCGGAGCGGGACGAGCACAGCATGGCGGAAGCGGAAGGGAGTTCTCCGCTCTTGTTGCCGCCGCCACCGCCCCCTCCCGGGATGGCGGAAGTAGAGGTGCAGACGGCGGCCCAGACGGACATGAAGCAGTACCACTGCTCCAGCGGCGTCACCATGGACGTGGAACGGAGCCGCTTCCCCTACTGCGTGGTATGGACGCCCATCCCGGTGCTCACGTGAGTCTCCTTCTGCGTCCGTCTAGGGTGATGAAGAGGGCCCAGAGAGAGCCGGAGCCCTTGCGGTGTCCTCCAGCGGTGGGTCTCCCTGCCCCCGATACGCTGCAAGCCCTCGCCCTCGCCCTGGGATGGCCCGCATCCCTCACTCAGTCGCCAGAATCCTGCCACCCGCGCCCCGCCTTTTTCCGCTGACAGTTGGGACATGCTACCTGTCCTGGTTGCAGCCGGGCTAGTCTGGGAGAAAAATAAGTGTAGGTAGGCGGGAAAGGCCAGGGGGCTGGAGGCTGCAGGCGTACCGAACAGGGGCCCCTAACTTGGTCCGAGGAGATGTCTTCATTCATTCTCGGGTTTATTCATTCATTGAGCAAATGCTTATTGATCACTTGCAGTATACAAGACATCCCGCTGCGTCTGGAAGCAACAGTAGGAGTCTGGCAGGGGCCATACCTCTCCTGGGAGGTCTACGTGGGAAGGGCCACCAGAGGTCTGGGAGACCAACCCTGTGTCTTACACACCATCTCAGTCGCAAAGCAGGTGCAGGTCCCAGAGTGTCTGCCTCCCATAGGAAGGTTCTGTGTATAGCCTTTGTCAGGGGAGAGGCAGGTGCACAGCTGCTGCTTGCTACCCTCATACTTCAACTGGTAACAGTAACCACTCCTCCAAGTGCCAGTTTGCCAAGCCTTTTCACTCCCATTTTCCATAAATTTCATAGCTACTTTTTTTTTTAAATTTTGTTCTAAATTTTTTTAGTTGTCGATGGACCTTTGTTTTATTCATTTATATGCAGTGCTGAGAATCGAACCCAGTGACTCACACATGCTAGGCAAGCACTCTGCTATTGAGCCCCAGCCCCAGCCCCTTCACAGCCACTTTCTAAGGTAGGAATTATCTTCTTCCATGGTAAAGCTGAGCTTCTAGCATAGTCTTGGTTAGATGCCTACCCCAGCAAGCAAAGGCTTTCAAAACTCAGTTTTCTGACTGTGTAACTTGTTATCTTCTAGCTGTACCTTATCTCCTTTAATACAGTGTAATAGATTTGTTCCCCCTATCAGAAATAGCCAAGTGGAGTTCCAGAGAGGAATCATTTGTTGCTTACATGCTACATCCTAAAGTGTTCTCAACATTTGTATTAAAATACTTAAACTGTTTTGTTTTCAAACGCTTGTGCATTTAAGAGCATCCAAAATTTTAATACCAAATTTAAAAATATGTTTTTAAAGAACATGTGTTCATTAATTCAATCGATACTACACATTTGCTAAGTGACTGCTATGTGCCCAGATAGTTCTAGGTGTTAAGAATATACAATGGTGAATAAAGCAGATGCAGTGCTTGTTCTTGTAGAGTGTCAGTCCTGGTGGAAGGAGTAGACCGTAAACTAACTATAGAACTTCTGATAGTGGTTAGTGGTATGAAGAAAATAAAATATTAATGTGAAAGTAACTGGATGGGGTATTTAGGGAACCTACTGGTTTTGTTAAAGCCTGTCATATTATCCTATTTTCTCTCAATTTTTCTCATTCTTCAAAAACCGTTTGTGCATGGTCTTCTGCAGGCACCATGATCCTCAGTCATCTGGGCCAGAAGCCGTTCGCATGCCAGTTGTATTCAGGTCTATCTGCAGGTGTTCATAACTCCAAGATGAGTAAGATAATCATGGGCCCATCAAAGGACTCATATTCTTTTTAGAGGACTCCCCTATAGCCAAAGAGAGAGAAACTAACATGTGCAATACATTGTAGTTTTGTTGATAAAAGTGCAGAGCTAGATTTGGCACAGGGAACTATCATCTGTCTTTGTCTTACATCACAATTGAACACCACTTTTTTTTTTTTTTTTAATATTTGGTGTTTTTTTGTTTTTGTTTTGCAGTACTGGGGATCAAATCCACAAAGCTTTACACATGCTATGCAAACATTCTACCCCTGAATACATCCTCAGTCCTCCACTCTTTTTTTTCTAATTGGCACATAGTATTGCATATATTTATGGGATTTAGGATGACACTTCAATACCTGCTTAAAATATGTAATGATCATGTCATAGTAATTGGCATATCCATCGACCTCAGACATGTATCGTTTCTTTATGTTGAGAACATTCAAAATCCTCTCTATTAGCTATTTTGAAATATATAAATTGTTGAGAACTAAAATTACTATACTTAACTATAGAATATTAGAAGTTATTCCTCCAGTCCGAATGTACCCTTTCTACATTTTTTTTTCCCCTTGGCAGGGTTGGAGATTGAACCCAGGGCCTCATATACGCTAGGCAAACACTGAGTTACATCCCTGACCCTTTTTATTTTTTATTTTAAGGCAGAGTCTAAGTTGCTGAGGGTCTTACTAAGTTGACAAGACTGTCCTTGAACTTGTGATCCTTGTCCTCCTGAGTAGCTGGAGTTACACCGCTTCCTCTGGCTCCCGCTATGCTCTTTATTTTTTCTTTCCTGGTGATTGAACCTGTGGCTCTTTACCACTGAGCCACATCCCTTTTCATTTTTTATTTTGAGACAGGGCCTCACTAAGTTACTGAGTCTGTCCTTGAACTTATGGTCCTCCTTTTACACTTTTAAATGCCAGATATTTGTTCATTATTATTGAGTCAAAGTTATGTGCCAGGTACTGTCCTTGAGAGTATTACAGTAAACAAGACAAAAATCCTTCTTCTAATGGAGCTTAAGTTTTAGTGGAGAGACAGCCAATGTCCAAGTAATCAAGATAATTTCAGGTACTTGTGCATGGATGTTGTGAAAAAGACAAATCAGAGTAATGGATCTTGGATGTGTGTGACTACTGTAGAAGGCATAATTCAAGGAAGACCTCCAGAGTCTTAAAACTCTACTCAATCTTCCTTTTTAAAGAGAGCTTGAATCTATCTGCTGCTCACCACCCCACCACCCATACTTTGGTTAGGGTCACCATCATCTTTGGTTGGAATTACAGTAGTAGCCTGAGGAATGGCCTCCTTCCTACCCTCTTTGCCTATCCCCTCCCATTCTTCAGGCACAGGCCACACTTTCTGCTTTGGAGATTTCTGCCATTAGATATCCTGTCCTTTCACAGGTCAAGGTTAAAAGTCATCTCTGCTGACTCTGCCCCAACCTCAGTTCTAAGTAATTACTTCCCTGAGCTGCATCTCTACAGGTTTTGCCTCCATCTCCCTAGCAGGGTGCTTTGTGCTCATGCTTAGGCAGCCTTGAGACCAGGACCTGGCCCTGTGAAACCTGCTGCAGCTGGATCATTGTCTCCAGCACTCAGGCCTTGTAGGGCCATGGTTCTCAGGCTACAGATCTATCTGGAGTTCCTGTGTGTTACATATAAAGATCCATTTGAGATTTGCTTTTAAAAAAATGCCTATGGCAGCTGTGCATGGTGGCACATGCCTGAATTCCTGAATATTCTGGAGATTTGAAGCAGAGGATTGCTTCAGCCCAGGAGTTGACGGTGTCTGGCCAACACAACAAGACTCCATCTCAAGAAAAAATGAACTGGGTTAAGCCAGGCATGGTGGCACACACCTGTAATCCCAGCTACTTGGGACATTGAGGCAGGAAAATCACAAACAAGTTTAAGATCAGTCTGGGCAATTTAGCAAGACCCTGTCTCAAAAATAAATAAATAAATAAAAAGGGCTGGGGAATGTAATGAGGTGGCTCAGTGGTAAAGAGCCAGGTAGAGCGCCTACCTGGTATGCACCAGGCCCTGGGTTCACTCTCCAACACCATTTAAAAAAAAAAAAAGTAAAAAAACAAACAAAACACTATAGAATTTTGGTTCCTGGAATACACCATGTTTTGTCCTGATCTCTGTCCTTGCACATTAGTTCGTCAACATTTGGATTATTTCCACTAATTTTTCTGTCAACTTTATGGAGATAATTATATGTAATAAAAGGCATACATTTTAAGAGTACAAGTAATGAGGTTTGGTATCTGTTTTTGTTTCTGTTTATTGCGTTACTGGGGATGGAACCTAGGACCGTGCACATCCTAGGCATGTACTCTACACTGAGCTATAGCTCTGAGTTCAGTGAGTTTTAACAGATGTTTTTGGCTATTTTAAATAAAGGTGCTATGAAGATTCCGTTCATGGCCTAGGTAGACACAAGCACTCATTTCTGTTGGGTGTATACTCTGAAGTGGACCTGCTAAGGCATAGGGTGCAGTGTCCAACTGTTTTTCAAAGTGATAGAAACTATTTACTCTCCTCTAGAGATGAGTGAGGTTGCTCTTCATCCTCACTGGCATTCTCTGTTATTGTGCTTTTGGTTGTAGCCTGTGGTGAGGGTGCGGGGCCATCCCATTGTGTTATTGATTCAGTTACCCCTCTTTTGGGCCCCCCTGCCCCTCTAGACCACCCTCATAGGCACTCATCACATGACACTATATTCACATGCTCTCACTGGATAAAGTATCCCCAGCATCTCTCTGACTGGTTGAAAACCCCCTAAGCTCTGTCCCTTTCCTGTCCTTTTTCCTCATAGGTGGTTTTTCCCCATCATTGGCCACATGGGCATCTGCACATCCACAGGAGTCATTCGGGACTTTGCTGGCCCCTATTTTGTCTCGGTGAGTTCCCATTCTGTCCTTCCTTGGAGGGTCCCAAGGCTTGCATGGAAGGCTGGCCTGTCCTGCCTGGAGTCAGGCTTCCTATATTCCCAAACCCAGGAAGATGCACATGACATGCAGCCCTGGCCCTAGCCCTCACCAATATCACGTTTCTCCTTACCTCCAAGACAGGCCAGAAGGGCAGTGTGGCCAGAAGGAACTTAACCCTTAAGTAACTGGCCCATTCCTTTGCCCCTGCCCCTGGGGTTCTAAGCCATGGGTAAGGGTAGAGGCAAGAGTAAAGTCAGATCATCTGGGAACCACATCTCTGGATCTTCAGAAGATGGGAGCCAAGGTGGGGAGACAGGGGAGGCTGACATGGTTCCTGAGGTCGGTCTTCTAGAAAATCAGCTGTGTTCTATTCCCTGAGGTCTGTTCTCTGGGAATAGGCAAATATTGGTCCACTGGCTAGCTCCACATGAGCATGCAGCATCTGCCTGTATCTAGGTCGGAGATAGGAATGAAGGAGATGTTGGTAGCATCAGCCTGTTTATAGTTGCCATGACTTATTTTCGTGTGTAATGGTCCGGGGATTGAATCCAGGGTGCTCTACCACTGATCTACATCCCCAGCCCTTTTTATTTTTTATTTTGAGACAGGGTCTTGCTAAGTTGCCCAGGCTGGCCTTGAACTTGTGATCCTCCTGCCTCAGCCTCCCCAGTCACTAGGATTACAGGTGTGCGCCACAACATCTTAATACAACAAGGCCAACCCCTTTGCACTTAAAAATACTTTCACTGTCATATATTTTTATAATTCTGATTCTGAACCCATACTCTGTCCCTGCATAATTCCTCTATGCCAGGTTTTATGTGGTGAGCCTAGGACTTTGTTAGCATGTCCCTTGTTGGAAGCCTCTCTAGGCCCAGCAGCCCCCATTCTACTGTGAATGCATGACGCTGCCAGGCATAGAGTTGGCTCCGTGAAAGCCATCATTACTGGGTCAGGAGCACAGAAGATTAGCATTTACACCATGAAGGAAACCTCCAGCCCATGACCAAAGATCAGAAAGATGCCAGAGAATGCAAGAATTCCCTGGGTATCCCACTGCCTTCTTCCCACAGAAAAGCCACTATTGGCACTTTAGAAATCATGCCAGCCCCCTAGCAGATCTGCACTCCACTTTTGCCCACCCCTGATACACCCTCTTCTGAGTCACTGCACTTCAGCCATTGACCCAGGTTTGTATATAACCTGGATATAGGTTCCCCACTGACCTCTGCTCTTGTCCCTCAACAGGAAGACAACATGGCCTTTGGAAAGCCTGCCAAGTAAGTGATGAACACCTGTGTGACTGGCCTAGGGCAGGTTGCTCCTGCCCAGAACAGCAGGCCAGGTCCTCTGGGGCATAGCAGGAGGACCAGGTGTGGAGGGGAGGGACAGCCAGATCAATCAGGGCATAGCAGCCCTATATCAAGCACTGATTATGCCAGTCCCTGGCTGGGCCTTTACCTGTAGACCATCCAAGCCTTGCCTCAGCTCTATAAGGTTGTGCTTTCAATTCTATGGCAAAGGGTGAAGAAAGGGAAGGGACATGGTCAAGATCACAGAGGAAGTGGCAGAACCAGGCTCATAGCCTCCCTCTGTGTCCTGGACACAATTCCTGCCCCTTGGGGGCAAACAGGCCATTTAAGGTATAAGGAAGGCATTGTTTGGATGCTGCTGTTAAGTTCTGCTTGGAGGGATTAAAAACAGTTCAGATCCTTAGGGAGAGAAACTGGTTTAGTTGGGGGCTTTAGGTCTTCATTTCTTTCATCTTGGGTGCTTGCAACAGCTCCAGGCCTAGTGATAATGCCTCAGTCCTCAGTATCCTCAAAAGAACAGCAGATACCCAAGGCTGCCCAGGAGAGGTGGGCACAAAGCAGAGGCAATTTGGAGGCAGACTGACTCTGGTTTCCTCAGGCAGGTGGAAATATGGTCCAGGAGTCTCTGGGCTGGTGTTTGCTGCTAGGCTGCTTTTTGAAGACTGTTTGTTTGTTATTGTTTTATTTTTTCAAAGACAGTTTTAAGGGCTTCCTTTTCCCATAGGAGCTCCCAAATGCCACCATGGCACTGTGTATAGGCTCCTCCACAAGCCATACAAGGGGAGACATGGGGAGAATGCTTGCTTATGGGTAAACTCCTCATTGTGACATCCAAGTCCCTGCATGACATGGCCCCTGTTGCATCTCCTGCCTCACCTGCCAGCATTCCATCACCCCGTTTCTCTTTCTGAATCTTTGAGTAGTGCTTAGTCACTTAGTTTTTGGGACACACTGCAATTTTCTGCCTCTCACTTTGTTCAAGCCCTCCCCTTAGTCTACAGGGCCTTGCCTCTCTTTTCTGTGTTCGCTGACTTCTCTTCCATTAGACTAGACTCAGATGTCACCTCCAGAAAACCATGTCACTCCCCCTCTCTTCATCCATTAGGTTGCCATGACAAAATACCATTTAGTGGGTGGCAAACCACAGAAATATATTTCTCACATCTCTGGAGGCTGGGAAAGCTAAGGTCAAGGTACTGGTAGATCGAGTGCCTGGTGAGGGCCCGCACCACCTTCTTGCTATATTCTCACATGGTGGAAGGGGCAAGGTTCTCTCAGGCCACTCTCATACGGGCGTTAACCCCATTCATGGGAACTATACCCCCATGACCTAGTCACTTCCCAAAGGCCTCACCTCCTAGTATTTTCACATTGGGGGTTAGGATTTCAACATATCAGTGGTGTGGGTGGGGCAAACATCCAAACCATAGTACCCCTCAACTGAGCTGGCTTCATGTCCTCCCAGGATCCACTGTGGTACATGGCACCTCACCCTGTTATTATCTGCTGCATGACTCTTGCCTAGATCTGGCCTCAGCACCCAGCACAGAGCAGGTCGCAAGGAACATCACTACAGCTGAGAGGCCTCAAGGGGGCCTATCCAGTGCCAAGAACCTCCTCTCTTCCTCAGGTACTGGAAGTTGGACCCTGCTCAGGTTTATGCTAGCGGGCCCAATGCCTGGGACACAGCTGTGCATGACGCCTCTGAGGAGTACAAGCATCGCATGGTAGGTGGCTGGGACAGCAAGCACTCCTGAGATGGGGACCAGGGTGGGAAGTTTACCCTCGCTCATCCTGACCCCAATCCTTCCTATTCTTGCAGCACAATCTCTGCTGTGACAACTGCCATTCACATGTCGCATTGGCCCTGAACCTGATGCGCTACAACAATAGCACAAACTGGAACATGGTGACCCTCTGCTTCTTCTGCCTGCTTTATGGGAAGTATGTCAGGTGAGCTGCCCTCCCACCTGTACATTCCCCTGGGCTGCTCTCCAGAGGATCCCAGTGAGGCTGTGTCTGGAGTCCTTCAGTCAGCAGGGACAGTTGGAGCAGATGCCAATTGGAGCTGTGAAGTTCCAGACTAGCTGAGTTCCTGGTGGAAAAGGAGGTTACTGTGCCAAAATGCAGCTCCACCTTGGTCCCCAGCCTGGTTGTCACTTGCTATGAGGCCTTGGGTAGTTGCCTCGGCCTCTGCACTGCAGTTGGCATTGCTAAGATGGTAGTAATGATTCTGGCTCCTCAGGGAGGATGTAAGTCTAAGAGACCTATGCTCAGGCAAAGAAAGTAGATCTTCATGGGATGGTTTGGTGACTACTCCACAGTATCCCTTCCTGTAATTCCCTGTGAGAGGCAAGGTTTTGAGCAGTGAACCCAGTGGTAGCTTAGGGGGATCTTTGAAGTCACAGTCTTCTGACCTATGAGGTCCAAGGCATTCATTGCCAGCTCTTAGTAAAAATAGGGCTCAGAGAGGTTGAGTGAGTTGCCCATAGTCCCACAGCAAAGCCCACACTTGAGCTAATCTGGGCCCCTCCTCCAAGCTTTCCTGTTAGCTGTGCTTATCATTAAGAGCTTTTGGTTGGGGGCTGGGGTTGTGGCTCAGTGGCAGAGCGCTTGCCTCGCACCTGTGAGGCACTGGGTTTGATCCTTAGCACCACATAAAAATAAATAAACAAAATAAAGACACTGTGTCCATGTATAACTAAAAAAAAATTTTAAAAAAACAAAACTTTTGGTTGGGTGTACTGATACACTCCTGTAGTGCCAGTACCTCAGGAGGCTGAGGCAGGACGATTGAAAGTTTGAGGCTGGTGTCAGCAACTTTACAAGACCCTGCTTCAAAAAATAAAAATGGCTGGGGATATGGCTCAGTGGTAGCGCTCTTGCCTAGCATATTCAAGCTCTAGGTTCAATTCCTAGTACCACCAGGGAAAAAAAAAAAAAGTTTCTTGGAAAGAAGACTCTCCAGGGTCTTCATTTTCCAGCCTGGAAGGTATTTAAAGGTGCCGTGAGAAGAACATAACTGTGGTCACAGAGAGATTGAGGCAGAGCCAGAGCTGGCCCCAAGTCCCTGACTCCCAGCCCTCGGCTCCAGCCATAGCACTGTGCCAACACTCACCAATCCCCTACCCTCAGTGAGCTCCATCATGAAGGCCACAGCAGAGGCCACTCATGGCTTTCACACCCAAACTTAAATTCCTGGTCTCCTTGCTGGTGCCCTCTTCTCAGAGATAAGTGATTATGGGTGGAGCGAGACCCAGAGGCAGCACACCCCCCTTTTCCAGCAGAGTCTGATCTCCACCCGGATCTGGTGGTCCTCAAAAGTGGGCACTAGCCAGGTTCCATTCCTTAATTGAGTTTGGGAATGGGAAGTAGTTCCAGGGACTCCTTAGCAGGGGCAGTGCTGTCAGGGTTGTAATTAGATGGGGCTCAGGGCCACATGCCTGTCATCTGCTCCTGCCCACCCTTGCTCTTCTCCCTCTCTGTCAGCATCGGAGCCTTCGTGAAGACCTGGCTGCCCTTCGTCCTCCTCCTGGGCATCATCCTGACCGTCAGCCTGGTCTTCAACCTGCGGTGATAGCTGCCACACAGCCTCAAGCCCACCAGGCTTCCATGGAAGAAGCCCCTTATGGTCCCAGATTCTTTCTCCTCACCCCCAAAGGCAGGGGTAGCCTGCTCTGTTGGACTTGGGGACTAGGAGGGTGGGATGAAGGGTCTGAGAATGAGTGTAGGGCAGGGCTCTCTGCTTGTTGTATCTCACTGGCTACTCAGAAGCTCCCTGCCCCCTTCCCCTGGGCTTGTGACCCTGCCCTTGAAGCACCCTCTTATCCCCCTGTTGGGAAGACCCTGCCTGCTCTAGAGCTCTTTTTGCCACAGCCCAGTGCCCACTGTGGACAAGGACCCACCAGACAAGGCAGCACCCTGACCAGAGGTGGATTAGGAACCTGCCCTCTGCCCAGTAGCTCTGGTTCTGAGGTGGGATAGGGTGTACTACTACCCTGGAGCCTTCCCCTTTGGCCTCTAGAATGTTCCAGAAGGCTGGATAGGTCCTTCTTTTAGATATCTGCCAGAAGCTGCACCGGGATGCTCTGCCCATCTGCTGGTGCCCTCCAACCCATGCAGCCTCCTCTTCCCCCTTTCCAGGACCTCCCAGCACTTGGGCCCATCTCCCCTGCAGTTTGGGGCCTGGCTGGTAAGGTGAGTGAAGCTGACATGTGCAGAGTGGTTCTGTATACCAGATGGTGTAGACCCACTCTTTGTCCCCTTGGGGCCAAAGTTAGTGCCGTCAGGTAGCAGGAGACAGGCTGTTTCCTCCCATCTGACTACAGCTCCCCACTTAAAGCTATCAGAAAAGGCCCTGTGCTGCCACCTCACCCCACTGCTCCATGGGCTCCTTTGTGAGGGGCTCCCTAGCAGGATAATAAAAAGTTTTGAGTTGAGGTGGTACCTGTCCTTGTTTTCTCCCTCTCTGCAGCCCCCTCACTCTTCACCTTGTTATATTCTTTGTGTCCTTGGGTATCTCTACCCCTGGCAAGAGATCTAGTTGCCAGTGTCACAGCTAAGTCTGTGTTCAGTGCCTGGAGCTCACAGGGACATCAGCATCCCTCAGTGATCTCCAGGTTATGGGAATTCCCCACATTCTGGGACCATCATTCCAAGCTCTCTCCTGGAAGCAAGTGAGTATTGAAACCCCTCCCAGATTCTTTGTTGAGAAGAGCTTTGCAGAAGGATTGGTGTTAAAACTGAGCAGGATTTTCAGTGGGTAGACCAGAGCCCTAGGGCTGCCCCTCAATCAGGAGTGCCCAGTTTGGAGTAAGCTAAGAGAATTGGCCAGCCATATCCATCTGTCAGATTGCTGGACTTCTTGTGCTGACCTCCATGTTCATGTCCCTGGCCTCTCCTTATTACCGCCCCCCAATCTCTTGCTGCTGCCCTTCAGCTTCTGTGCTCTCCACACCCTGCAGCGCTCACCCAGCTTTGGTCCTTTACTTTCTGAAACCTGTTGAGAAAGCCCAGCTTAAACACTGCCTTCAGAGCTGGGGGTATTGCTCAGTGGTAAAGCAGTTGTCCAGCATGTGTGAGGCCTGGGTTTCATCCCCAGCACCTCAAAAAAGCAAAATGAAACTGCCTCCTCAGCAGGCTGAGCTATGTCACTTCAGATGAAGAGAGAGTGGTTAGCATTTTGAGGGTCCTTTGTGCTAATCCAGAGGTCACCTTGAGGACAGGCACTAGCTGCTGGCCCCAAGGCCCTGGGTCAGTGACAGCCAGCTCACTCCAGACCCAGCAGTATTGTGGTTCCAAGCCTGGATCTTGCACATTGGGGTCCATCTGAGAGTTGATTGGGGACAAGAAAAAAGATACTGAGGACAGCCATAGCACAATAGACAGGCTGTGCATGAAGGTGTTCGCCTGTAACCTAGCAACTGAAGAAGCTAAGGCAGGATCACAAGTTCAAGATCCTGCCTTAAAATTTAAAAAAGGGTCTGGGGATGTGGCTCAGTGGCAACCCCTGGGTTTGATCCCCAGTACCAAAAACGAACAAGAAAAAATTTTAAGGCCTGCTCCATTCAGCCCAGCAAAAACTAGAATTTCCCTTGGGGAGACAGGATATAAACGGGAGCCATAAAAATCATCACAGGCACTGCTGGAGGCTAGCTCAGTGGTAGAGTGCCTGCCTGGCACGTGTGAGGCCTGGGGTTCCATCCCAGCACCACACATGAACACACACACACAAACCAGTTAATGAGAGCTTTCTACATGCTAGGCCTGGAAATGAAGTACTGTGTTATTTATCCTCACAACAGCCCTATAGGATGGGTGCTGTCATCACCATTTTACAGATGAAAAAAACAAGCACAGAAAAGTAAAGGGACATGGTCAAGGTTTTGGAGGTAGAAAGAGGAACCATGGTTTAAACCCAGCAGCCTGGCTCTAGAGCTTCCCCACCCCCCAAACCACCCCGGAAGGTGCATTAGCTAGAGCCCAAGGAGTGAAAGTGGGGAGAGGCTGTTTCTCTGGAGGCGAGTGCTGTGACCAAAAAGAGGGAAGAGTAGGAGCTGGAATTGGAAGCACTCCTCACAACAGTCCTGTAAGATGGCTGCTCTTGTCCTCTGCAATGAAAGCAAGGCTGGCGGTAGAGCCCAGATCTGCTGGCCTCTAGGACACTGCCTCTTCCTTGGGGCATTGCCTGGAGACCAGCCAGAGGGCAGAGATAGTCATGGGGGGTCAGGGATGGCTGCCAGAGACTTTAGCAGCTGGGCAGGGAACACAAAAGGACCAGAGGTGTTGGAAGGACAGGAAGAAGAATCTAAGGTTCTAAGGGTATGTGTGACAAAGAACAGAGCCAGATTTACCATGGTAATCCTGAGGGTCACGCTGAGAGGGGTTGGACAGCCCACAATGGAGGGCAGTCTATCTTGGAAGGCAGGGAGACTTCGGTCAGCAAAAGTGCCAAAGGAGGCTGGACTGGTGATGGCTACTGGCACCTTCCAAACCTAAGGAATGACAAAAGTATGTTCAGAAAGGACCTGTGACAGTTGGGCAATAAAGGGGTGGAAGGCCAGGTGGGGCTGCATGGAGACCAGAGGAGGCGGCTCCCAGAAAAGGCTGAGGCGGTGGGTCGGGTTGTAGCTCAGTGGTGGAGTTTTTGCCTAGCACATGTGAGGGACTGGGTTTGATCTTCAGCATCACATAAAAATAAAGATATTGTGTCCATCTACAACTAAATGTGTGTGTGTGTGTGTGGTTTTTTTTTTTTTTTCCTAAAGAAAAAGAAAAGACTGAGCAGGGGCTGAGGCCAGGACAGCAGGAAGAAAGAAAGAGACTAGCCAGGAGGGGACAGTGCCTGGAATGACAGGGGCAGCCTCTGGTGATGTAGGAGAATTGGGGGCCAGGGTGATCCTGAGGGTGGTGGGAGCCACTTACAGAAATGGGAACTTGGAAGGGGGCTTCAGATGAGGAGGTCAAGCTAGGCATGGTGGTGAATACCTGTAATCCCAGCGGCTCAGGAGGCTGAAACAGGAGGATCATGAGTTCAAAGCCAGCCTCAGCAACTTAGCGAGACCCTGTCTCTAAATAAAATATGAAAAAGGGCTGGGGATGTAGCTCAGTGGTTAAGTGCCCCTAGGTTCAAACCCTGCTACCAAAAACAACAAAAAACACAAGAGAGGTCATAGGCATCGGACTGTGTTGATGCCTGGCACCTACTACATGCCTGTTTGTACCAGACCCTTTAATTTCTTTTATAGTAGGCTCCTTGCATGCTGCTATCTAATTTGCATAGGAGGAAATTGCAGCTCAGAGAGGTTAAGAGACCTGCTGAAGATCACACAGTGGCAGAGCAGGGACTCTGCTAAAGATCGTCTAACTTCAAAGTCTGCAATCCTTCCATTACCTCTGATTCTTAGAAAAGTGGCTAACATTGCTTTCAAAGTAATTTCCAATCAGCTCCTCTGTGGGCAAGGTGGGTTGCTACCCATTAGTAAGACAGGTCAGTCAAGTCTGCTGGGGCCAGGGCCTCCTTGAGTTACCAGGCGAGTCTACCATGGAGCTGGTGCTAAAGTCCCAGGCTTGGCAGGCCCACCAAACCGGCTCTGGGTTCTCAAACTCATGGCAGGCACACCCGGGAGCCGGTAGTCCAGGCCCGGTTTTGCACCAGGCCCTGCTGAGGTGTCTCCTCCTCCTCCCCCCACCCCTCTGGCTGGGGCAGCTGCTTGGCTGGGCAAGTCAGCCTTAGTCCCCGTACTGCTCTTCTGGTCCCTGAAACTCTGCTGCCAGGGAAGCCAGAGTCACCCAGGAAGGTGTCCTCCTGTGTTGGACCCCGACAGGTAACACACCTCGGTGCTGGAGCCCTGCAGTATCCTGAGGGGCAGGCACTGCCACCTGGGCACCCTCTGGCACCTTGGGATCTTGAGGGTGGGGGAGGCAAGAGCAAGTCTGGGACTGGCCTGGCCAGGCAGACGGACCAATGGGTCTGTCCCATAGGGTTGAAACAGCAGGGAGGACCATGTATTTGATTTGACTCTGGAAGGAGAGGGGACTTCAGGAAAGAGGACAAAATGGGCTTGGATGCCCATGGCCCAGCCCAGCAAACCTGTGGGACAAGGGCAGACTCAGTTCTGCTAAATATCTCCCACCTTCACACTCAGACACACACCTGGTGGCTCTGGGCCACCAGAGTACACATAACACAGCTGGGTCTTAAAGACAGCACAGGAGGAAATGCAGAGTGCACACACCCACACAGCACTGTCACCCAGAAAGTCACTGAACACACCAGACAATCTAGCCAGCCATGTGGTATCATGCGGCAACGTGACACACAGACACACACATAGACCCCACAGCACACAGACTTGGCCACCACGCCAGACTGCACAGCTCCACAGTGAGACACAGAGATGGAAGGGCTCATGAGCAGCAGCCAACAGCTTGGGTACAGTAGAAGTTCAGGAAAACTGTCACTACTGAGGACACAGATATGCAGAAACCCCAGGCTCCCCAGGTGGGCATCAAGGGGAGAGCGTTGCTCCACTTGGACACTGACTCACTTGGGAGGGGACAGGGTGCAGGAGGTGTCGGGCACAAGCCAGGACCTGCCTCTGAGCCGCCCTCTTTAACATCTCAGCCCCACCTGGAGCCCTGGCATGGAATGGGTGGGGAGGAGAGGAGAAACCGCCCTGTGGGTTCAGGCCATGACCATGACTGAGTCTTGGGCCCCTTGCCATGTCCACATGCCCCTCAGCTAGGCAAATGTTTTCCTTCCGGAGTCACAGTGGTGCCTGGGCATAAGCTGCTTTGCCAGCCTAGGCCTCTGGCCAGATCCTGGGGTGGGAGTTGGGGGAGCCATGAGGCCCAAACAGAGGGGCCCAGGGACTCTGAACAAAAGGGCAGGGCTAGCGGCAGGGGCATCCCTGGGATGGTGGCCTCAGTGGGAATGGGTGCTGCGGTTACCTCGCGGGGAGGAAGTTAGGGGTGTAGGCTGGGGAGGAGGTTGCCTCAGACAGGAAGGCCAAATGGGCCAGGGCAGGGTGGAGGTGAAGGGTGGGGGAGCAGACCCAGGTTGGGAGGTTCCCCAAGCAGGGGGACAAGCAGGTGTGTATACTTGCATCTGTGTGTGTGTGTGTGTAAGTGCACACATGCATTCCTAAGTGAGCAGGTGTATTTTTACATTTAATTAGCAAACACTTATCAGCTGCCCGTTGTATGCAAAGTACTGGCTTTGAGGGGCATGGTCTGCCCCTAGCTTCAAGGAACTCACAGCCTAGTTAGATGGGTGATGTGTATGGACAAAAGTCCATGAGATTTTGTGGACATCTAAGGTCATATATTCGTTCCCGGACTCATTCTTGTATAGATGAACCCGTCTGGGTGGGCCCCAGTCTCCATCTGTGTGCACATGCTTTGTGCAGGGTTAGGAATGTGTGTTGCACAGTTCTCAGGCACAGGTCTGTGTCTGTGCCTACACAAGTCCCTTCATGGGGGAATAGGTGTGTGTGTGCCTGTCGTTATCAGCTATCAATGTGCATGTGTGACTAGATATCTGTGCCCACATGGATCAGTGTGTGTGTGTGTGTGTATGTGTGTGACCTCTGTGGTTCTCTACCTCTAGAGGTGTGTACATGTGTCTCCACACACTCCTTTGAGTGTGTCTGTTTTCATGGTCATGAACACCCCTCAAGTCACCTTGACCCCAGCCTTCCTGGGATTGTACATACTGCCTGGGCATATATTTGGAGAGAAAAGGGCAGTTAGTTCCAGGATATGCTATGGATTTGGACAGAGGTTGATCTTAACCTTGATCTGCCCCTAGGAAGCCACGTGAGCCCAGCTGGGGTGCAGCCCCAGCCGATGCCCCAGTGGGCCACCCTTCTCAGGAGAGGCTTCAGGCTCTACCCTCTCTCCCATGGCGCATGGACCAGAGCCTGAAGCCGAGGGACTTTTGGACCTCAGCTTCCTGACAGAGGAGGAACAGGAGACCATTGCTGAAGTCCTCAAACGAGATGCCCACCTGCGCCAGCTGGAGGAGGGGCGGGTCAGGTGAGGCAGGGGCAGCCACCAGCCAGGAGGAAGGGGCCTCAGGCACTTAGAGGCTCTCATAGCCCCAACTCTGCTCCCTACCTGCATGCTGCCATCAGATGTCTAAGCCACTCTTTGTGTTGCCCTTTGGTTCCCTCTGCCCTTGGCCAGCTCAGGGACCATCACCTCTCCCAGAGTAGCTGAACAAGCCCCCTCACCAGCCTTCCTGCCTCCAGAAGTGCCTCTTCCAGCCACCCACCTTGAGCTGAAGCTCCTATCCTTAATAACCTCTTGCAAACGCCCCTGGCCCCTAGCACCTCCGGTCAAATACAACCTCCTAAGCATAGACCATGAGGCCTCTCCAATTGACCCTTGCCAGCCTCCCCCATCCCATCTTTCCCCATAAGTCCCACCTGACACAAATACACAGTATCCTCTGCAGAAGTGCAGGTGTTCCCCAGACCCTGACAACACCCTGCTTCTCCAAGTCTAAGCTATGTGGCTTCTTCAGAAGAGCACAGTGGCAGAGGAGCATGGGAGTGACAAGTGTTTGAGGAGAGATACTTCCTAGATATGTAACCTTGGGTAACTTACCTGACCCTGAGCACCAGTCTCCTCATCTGTAAAATGGGGCTATGGAGGAGTCTTCTCTTAGAAAAAAATATGCAAGTATGGTCCGCAGTGACCACTTAATGAATAACAGTTACTATCCTTCTCTACCCAGAGAACTCCAATTTGTCCTTTAAGAAGGAATTCAAGGGCTGGGGCTGGGGCTCAGTGGTAGCGCACTTGCCTGGCATGTGTGAGGCACTGGGTTTGATTTTCATCTCCACATATTAATAAACAAAATAAAGGTCTATCAACAACTAAAAATATATATATATATATATATTTAAAAAAAGAAGGAATTCAAATGTCACCTCTGCTGGGAAATCCTCCTGAGAGAGCTGGTCACAGAGAGGAGACTCTTCTTACATTTATCACTGCATCTACCTCACCATATTGTACTTGTCTAGTCTGGATTTGGTTTCCCCAGAGGCCTGAGCTCCTCCAGAGCAGGGGTCAAGTCTGATTTGCTGTTGAGTCCCTGGTCCCTGGTAAAGAGCTGCTACAGAGTGGAAGGCAGAAAGGTTGGCTCCTTCTGAAAAACGCCCTCTCCTATCCTCCAGCAAACTCCGGGCCTCACTGGCAGACCCTGAGCAGCTGAAGATCCTGACAGGTGACTGGTTCCAGGAAGCACGCTCCCAGCGGCACCACCATGCCCACTTCGGCTCTGACCTTGTCCGAGCCTCTATTCGCAGGAAGAAGAGCTCCAGGGGTGAGAGGGGGTCCTGCCTTCTGCCGTCCAGGCTGTATGTGGACAGAGAGGCCCCTTGGGCTCCAGTCCAGATTTCCTCTAATACTGTGTGTCTTTGGGTGGGCACTGCCCCTCCATGGCCTGTGGGAGGTGGGTGGGCATCTCAGAGGGCCTCTCTGTGGGTCACAGACTTTATGAGAATGGAGCTCACAGAACTTCTCACCTGGGCCCAGGAGAACAGGCTCTGGGCAGTGATGGGGAGGCTGAGGCTGCCGGGAAAGAGACTGAAGAGGAGCCAGAACTCAGGTGAGGAGGTGTCACAGAGAGGAGAAGTGACTGGTAGTTGCTCAATCCCTTCTGAAAAACACCACTCCTTCCTCCTAGGCTCCCCATAGAACAGGTCCCTCCAGAGAGGCGCAGTGAGACACAGGTGAGCATGGAATGACTGAGCATTATAATAGTGCGCAGTGCCTAAGAGGGGAGGCAAGTGTGCTGGGGAAGAAGCCCCCAAGTCAGGAGACCTTGGACACACTCCTTCCCTGCTCTGGGTCTCAGCATCTTCCTTGGTAAAATGGTATGGACCGGCTATTAGCAATGGGTGGCACAGCCAGGCCCAGTGGCACACACCTGTAATCTCAGAGACACAGGAGGCTGAGGCAGGAAGATTGCAAGTTTGAGGCCAGTCTTAGCAACTTATCAAGGCTCTAAGCAATTTAGTGAGACATTGTCTCAAAATTTAAAAAGGGCTGGGGACTTAGGTCAGTGGTCAAGCTTCGATGAGTTCAATCCCCAGTACCAAAAAGAAGAAAGGAAGGAAGGAAGGTAGAAGGGACAGGACTGGGCGAGTCCAGAGACTCAGGTACTACTGCCCCCATCACCAGAACCTGGGAGCAGGCAGACCCATCCGGAGGGGCAGGCCCCAGGATGTGAGGGTGGGAAGTACCGGCCTGACTGGTCCTGCAGGGAGTTGCCAACCCTGCCTCGAGGGCTGCCCTAAATCTGAAGCTGGAGTAGCCAGGCTGGAGTCTCTGATATTTGACCCCTGTATGACCTTTGGCTCCTTCCTATTTAGTCCCCACTGTGACCTCTGCTGCTTGCTTTCTTCAGGGACCTGATGTCCCTTCACCATACGCCCCCTCAAAGGCGTCAGATCATCAGGAGGCCCAGGCCCAGGGAGGTAAGTGGGAGCCTGTGTTGAGGAGAACAGAGCTTATGGGGTTCAGAGGCAGCTCTAGTGACACCAATTACCAGGTTCACCTTCCACCCGGGCAGTCCCCCTCTGCGCTGGGACCCCTGTGGCCTCCTTGGGCGACCCCTGGGTAGCACTGGGAACAGAGTCTGCAGGTCACCCGGGCTGTGAACCAATCCCGTCAGACCATTTGCTCAGGGCCGGCAAGACAGGGGCTCACTCAGCAGCTGGTGCCTCACCCAGCCCCTGGCCGAGGGGGCGTGCAGGTGGACGCCGAGGAAATGGGCCTGGCGTGGAAGCCCTCGCCGCAGGCGGAGAAGGAGCCGCCGCCCCCGCCAGCTCAGGTAGGCGGGAGCGGCTCGCGGTTGTTCTCAAGACCCGGAGCGGACTCCGGGCTGGCAGTGCTCCTGCCCCGGGCAGCGAGCCGTCGGAGACCCCGCCCTGGCGAGGGAGGCGCGGGGAAGAAGGGGGCGCCCGGGTCACTTCACCCCTCTCCAGACCGAGATGGCATCCGAGATCCTGCAGAACGGGGAGGAGGATCCGGGGCGCGGCCCCTCACTCGACCGCATGCTCAGCAGCAGCTCCTCTGTGTCCAGCCTCAGCTCCTCCACGGTGAGGGGGAGGGCCTGGGGTGCCTCTCCCCCACTCATATCCCGAGCTAGCCCCTGCCTGACCCTCCCTCATCCCGGGACCTGACGCCCCAGCCCGCAGCAAGCCACCCGGAGGTGACTTTCCCCTCTTCCCTCCCTTCCCGCTCCATGCCCCGAGTATGAACCCCCTGCGCTGCCCCAGCCCCGACGCGGGCCCGGTCGCTGACACTCACTCCTTCCACAGCTGAGCAGCAGCCAGATGAGCCTGTCGGGGGAGGTGGAGGCGGGCGCGGTGCAGGTGCAGGTGCGCGGCTCTGTGCACTTCGCGCTGCACTTCGAACCCAGTGCCTCCGAGCTGCGCGTGCACGTGATCCAATGTCAGGGCCTGGCTGCCGCCCGGCGCGGCCGCTCCGACCCGTGAGTGACCGGCCGCCCCAGGTGGGGAATGGGGCGGCGGGGTACCCCGGGCAGGGCCGGTGCTCCAAGGGGCCGCTCTCACAGCTCAGCCCACCATCAACTGTCCTTGGTCTCGGTTTACTCAAATTCAAAACGGGAACGACAATTAGGGGGGAGGCATAAGGACTGAGATCATTTCTATAAATCAGCAAGAGGCCAGGCACACAAGTGCTGTGTCCCAGGTGGTGGCTGGGGAAGCCGCCAAAGCAGGGTAGAGGCCCTGGACGGCCCTTGCTTACCTCTGGCTCTCGCCTCCCTCACCCCAGCTACGTCAAAAGCTACCTCCTCCCTGATAAACAGAGCAAGCGCAAGACCGCGGTGAAGAAGAGGAATCTGAACCCGGTCTTCAACGAGACTCTCCGGGTGAGGCTGCCACGAGGGTGCCACTAATGAACAGGGTGCCCCTTCCTGCGGGCAGGATGGCAGGGCCTGCCAGTTTCGACCTTGCGGGTCTCTCCACTCCTCCATTCTGCGAGAGGAACGGCAGGGAAACCGCATTCCCCAGAGTGTCCGTTTGTGCTGGGCCTAGGGCTAGTCCAGACTCCCACAGTGCCCTCGGGGCTCCCCAGAGCTCCACCCTGTATAAAGCATGGTAGATCCAGCTTAGTCAACACTCCTGCAACACCGGTGCCGATGCCGGGCCGCCCGCGGGGCTCCACTAAAGCGCACTCCTGTCCCCAGTACTCCATCCCGCAGGCCGAGCTCTCGGGCCGCGTCCTGAGCCTGTCGGTGTGGCACCGGGAAAGCCTGGGTCGCAACATCTTCCTGGGCGAAGCCGAAGTGCCCTTGGACACGTGGAACTGGGACTCGGAGCCTACCTGGCTCCCCCTGCAACCCCAAGTAAGCCAGGCCTGCGCGGGGAGACCCGCGGCACAGAGCTCACGTTACCCCACGGACTACCCCCCTCCCGCCCCCGTCCCCTCAGCCCTGGCCTCGTACAGAGCCTCCCTTCCGACAGACACCCTAACCGCCCCGGGCAGGGCAGGCGGGCCACGCCCCTTCGCAACGGGGGTCGGGTGTTTGCAACCCTCCAGCCCCTCGTAGAAGCCCCGCCCCTATCGCCTGGCCCCGGCTAACCCCACTCTCAGTGTCTGGAGACGTCATTCCTTCATCTCTTTCCCCTGGCCCCACTCCCCCACACCCCCTCTGACTCTTGCAGGTGCCCCCCTCTCCCGATGACCTTCCCAGCCGCGGGCTGCTCTCCCTATCCCTCAAGTACGTCCCTGCCGGCTCCGAGGGTGAGTGACCGCCCCAGGAGAGGCCAAGCTGGACCAGCCTGGGAGGCGGGAGATCCCTGAGCCATGAGGAGGTGGCCTGAGCCGAGCCCTTCCGCAGGCGCGGGACTGCCTGAGAGCGGGGAGCTGCACTTCTGGGTGAAGGAAGCTCAGGACCTCATCCCGTTGCGCTCAGGATCCCTGGATACGTACATTCAATGGTGAGCGGCACTGCGACTTGGACTTCGCTGCTTCACTTTGGCTCCAATCTCGGATCAGCCTCTACCTTCAACCCCTGATCAGTCAGCCTCGGTTGTGATCACCGAGCAGGGGTGAAGGGGACGGCTGGAGCAAAGGCCAGGAAAGTTGAAGATGCCTGAGGAGCTGCATTTCAGGGTGACTGTTGCCTTCAGAGCTGACTGGGGAGCTAAGCCGAGGCTACTGAGGCACCTCCATGGAGAACTTGGAAGGCCTTGCTGTGGGGCTTGGTCCTGAATTGTAGTTCAGTGGTTCTCAAAGTATTCTGGGGGATCTCTAGGGGCCTTCTAGGTGCTGTCCCAACTTCAGAGAGTGAAATGGAGGTAGGTTCCTCAGATTCTGAGTCTCACAGCTCATTCTATTTTGTTTTTTCAATTGTTACAAGCAATATTTTATTTTGCAGAAAGGGCTCCAAGGTTTTGAAAAATTTCAAACTAATTTGGTGGGGGTGGTGGAGGGATCAACAGGGAGCCAGTGAAGGTCACTGAGCCAAGGAGTAGCAGAATTGCATTTCAGAGACCACTCTGGGATCCTGTGAACAGAAGTTATAAACTTAAAGGCAGGAGACCTGGTGCAAAGACGGTCCCAGGGCAGCGCAGGCTTGGAGGGCAGGTCTCAAGCAGGAGCCAGGGGACATGGACATATGTGAAGGAGAATAGGTACAACTCCATGATTGGTTGTCTCTAAGGAGTGTGAGGGGTTGGTGACCTGATGCCAGCCCACTTCCCCCACAGCTCAGTGCTACCTGATGACAGCCGGGCCAGCCGCCAGCGAACAAGGGTGGTTCGACGCAGCCTCAGTCCAGTATTCAACCACACCATGGTTTACGATGGCTTTGGGCCTGCTGACCTGCGCCAGGCCTGTGCTGAGCTTTCCCTCTGGGACCACGGGGCCCTGACTAATCGCCAGCTGGGGGGGACACGCCTCAGCCTGGGTACTGGTAAGTAGAGCAGGGCCCTAAGGGGAGCCAAATTGGGAAGCAGGGGTTCAATGCTTGGCCTTGGGCACTTTTCTGCCCTTTCCTGGTGACTAGGTACTTTGCATAATTTGGGACCAGACAAGTGTTTCTTGGGACATGAGATGTCTAAGGTGACCATGCCTTTCACTCTTGCCCGGGAACATTTAGGTAGCAGCTATGGGCTCCAGGTACCCTGGATGGATTCCACACCTGAGGAGAAGCAGCTGTGGCAGACACTCCTGGAGCGGCCATGTGAATGGGTGGATGGCCTTCTACCCCTCAGAACCAACCTGGTCCCCAGGGCATAGCCCTATCAAATCCCTCTCTCTGGACTCCCCTCTCAGAGCCCACCCTTGGTTAGAGTCTATTAATAAAGTCTGTTTTAAGGACAATCGGGGCTGATGTCTACTGGTGAGGGGTGGTTACAGTAATAAGGTGTTAGCAGAAAAGATCCAGGTAGATGAAAGGGGTGAGATTAAGGAACCTCAGATTCAAACACAAAGACTTCGAGGGGCTGCTCCCAGGACACCCACCATACACCTCCGAAGTTGCCGAGACAAGGGTATGAAAGTGTTCTGTTTAATAGTCTTTGGTTGTGCTTGTGCTTGGATGCCTCTGTAGTTGGTTCCCCCCACCAGTGCTAGATCTGGGCACTACCCTGCCCCATTTGCCTGGTCTTCTGCTCTTGCTTCTGGTCCTGCACAGGTATGTCAGAGGCTGCTCAAGTCTTCTCTGTCCATCTGTCCATGGGTCTTTTCTGCCTCTGATGCCTTCATTCAGCCTCCCGGGGTCCAGGGGTAACTGATGCAGATCCTGCTCGCTGTGCCAAGATGCCTCTCCAGATGCGGCATACCATCCCTCCCCTGGGGACAGCAGGCTCAATATGGCTCAGTCAGAAGAAGGCCCCAGCTCTCTCTGGTACCCACTATCTGCCCAATGCTCCCTCTGTCCCCAGGGACCCCTGGAACCCCTGTGATTCTCAGGGAGGAACTTAGGACTACAGGTAGGGATCAGGATCTGGTCAGCATAAGGCCATGTGTGTTGTTCACCCCTGGAGGGCCCAGGATGTACCTGATGCCGGTATAAAGGAGGTCATCTCGAGTGGCACAGGTGAGCAGGGCACGGAGGGTGAAACTGTGGTTCAGCAGCTGTTTGTGGACAAAGACCCAAAGAAATATGGAGAGATAAAACTACAGGAAGATATGTCCAGAGATCTAAGTACTAGATTGTTCTATCAAAATGCTAAGGTGGATCATACCCCTTTCTGGCCCTCATTTTCCCCATCATATATACAATGGAAGGAAAACACTTCCAGCCTTAAGAGGGAAAAGTGAGAAGAGATGGACTACTGGTTGTGGGGGTCAGGGATAATCAGCATGTTTCCTCACCGTTTGGATGGTGCCTGAATCCACCTTTAGCCCCTGTAACCACTGCACCAAGCCCTGGTCCTTTGGGAGGGCATCTGTCAAGAAGTCAGGTGAGATGATGAGCCTCCTGCTAAAGGCTTCCTCACACCCACCAGTAGTGTCCTCCAGCCAGGTCCATTCACCTTGGGGCTCTGAGACGAGGGCACAGGTCCTGGCCTCTGCATTCATCTGGTGTAGAGTCTGGTATATCAGGGCCTGGCACTCCCGTTCCTTCTCTGCCAGGACCTCTCGAAGTCTGTGGAGGGCAGAAGAGCAGAATGGAATGGCAAGTGGGTTGAAGCTGACATAGATTCTACGTACCCTTCCAAGGGGACTTACCTGTCAGTCTCTGCCCGCAAGAGGCCCAGCTGAACTATCAGAGGAGGCGAGTCTTGCTCTCCTTCTGTGAGTCCGCTACTCCGCAAGACAGGAGATTCTTGTTGCTTCTGCTGAGACTCCCCTTCTTTACTCAATTCCTCTGACCTCAGTGAGCCCTCCTTCTTCTCTATCTCTGCCAATCCGAGTGGGGTGAGCTCAAGCAGTAGAAAGTCACCCCTTTAGGACCCCCAGATCCGACGGCAGGGGAATTAAGGGAGAGCACCCAGCTCTGGATAGTGACCAAGTGAGGCCAGTCTGGGAGATGTCCATTATGCACTCCTGGACGGGTTCCTTCCCACCTCCCTAAGCCTTGTCCCTACCAGCCTTATTATGTATTTGCCACGCCTCCAAGGGTCACACCCTCGCCCGCAGGCTGGCAGGCTCCAGCCCACTCCTACCAGGGTCCAGCACCGCCAAGGCTGCCCGCACAGCGCGGCTGAGCAGTGAGTCCAGCACGAACATCCAGTGTGGGCGGATCTGGCGCCTGCGGAGGATCTGCTTCACCTGGAGAGGGAGGGAGGGCGCAACTGAGACAGCTGAGCCTCAACTGGAGCTGGAGCTTGAGTTGGAAAGGCCTAGAAACTCTAGGCAAGTGAGGTGGGAGGGCTTGATGTCAAGGGATGGGCTGGGAAGCAGGGCTGGGCAGACAGCCCTTCCACGGAAGAGACTTAGAATCCTGGAACATCAAGCCCTTTCAATTACCTAACACAGGGAGCTCATTACCTATTATTGGACAGCCCTAACTGCAAGGAAGCCCCCTCACCGCATCTGGAAAGGCGAAGAGCGGTGCATTCAGAAGTGTAGACCCAAGGCCCTGCGCCCGCAGAAGCGCTTGCAGTGTCCGCAGCTCCTGGGCCAGCTGCCGACGATTGGGAGTATGGATGTGTGCCCCCAGGCAGCGGAGCAGATGTTCCACATGATTCCTGCTCAGTCGGGAACCCTGAGAGGGAGCAAGGGGTCGGTCCGCGGGTCCCACTCCAGCTAAAGAGATTCTGGGGGTGAGGGAGAGGCTAGCAGCAGTCCTGTCCATGCACCACCACCAGGGGTCGCTGGGGCGGGCCGCCCACCTGTTCCTGCTCCAGGCACAGGTTCTCGGCGAGCGTTGGCAGCTCCTGTTCCACCACCTCGGCCAGCATGGCTCGGCGCTTGCTCTCCTGATGTAGCAGGCTCAGCCCTGAACTCTCTTCCGGGGACGTAGGCTCCTCGACCCCAGGCTCCTCCGGTACCCTGGGCGCAATGGAGAGCAGCTGATGGAGGGTGGACAACACCATCCATCCTCCAGGTTTGAATCCTGGCTCTTTTACTTTTATGCCTACCTCTCAGGGACAGATAACAAGAGAAAAACCCGGAGCTGGGGCAGGAGTAGGGGAATCACAAGTTAGAACATCGGACAGGGCACAGATGGGCACCAGATACCATGCAAGTGGTCAAGGTATCCAGGCCAAAAGCCCAAGGAGGGCATTTTCTAGAGGGAGTAGAATGACAAACCCAGGTGAAGGAAACCGGAACCCACTCTAGGACCAGGATGGTAGATTCTTACCGGAGCTGGCTGGTGTCCCCATAACTGAGACAGCGTTTTGGGGGGCTGGGTGGGTGCTGAGAGGGTGCCTGAGGCTGCGGGAATGTCTGGGACTGAGTGGTGGGGTCAGCCAAAGGAATGGGACTGGCTGCAGGGGCATCTAAAGGAGGGACAAGCTGTCAGCCCTCTCACCTTCACAGCTCCAGGACCCTCCAGTATGCTCACTCCCTCAACACCCACAATACCTGAGGGCCGAGGAGCATGATGGGGGGAGGCAGGGCTGCGGCTCCTCTTCCCAGGCTGCAGGAAGGGATCCCCAAGCAGTGCTTGAGCACTGGCTCGGAGATGGGGGTCTGGCTCAAATGTTCTGAGGAGGAAGGCTTGGGCCTCAGCTGACAGAGAACTGGGCATTGGCGGGTGTACCTTGTACATGCCCACCTAGCAGGAGTTAGGGAGAACAAACAAGAGTTAAGATTAAAGGTGTTCAAGGACCAGTTCCACCCAAACTCCATGGCAAGGCCCCAAGGGGGGCTCACCTGAAACATGGCAGCCTGTGGGCTCCCTAGTTCATGGAAGGGTGGGCGACCTGTGGCCATCTCAATTACAGTGCAGCCCAAAGACCAGATGTCAGCTGCCTTCCCATATCCTCGTGGGCCCTGGTCAATGATTTCTGGGGCCATATACTGCAGGGTTCCTAGGATAGGAGCATGAGCACCAATGCTCATCCAAGCATTATCACAGGGATGGGGGGACTCCAGCACCCTCTGACCACCTGCACCTAGGCCGAACCCATCCTCCAAAATAGTTCCCATCACCTACCTCTATCATCAAACATCTATGCTGAGTTCCATCAGCCAACCTACCAAAGCTTCCAATTTTCACACAAGGCTTCATCATCTTGGACTTCATCACCCACAGGAGAGTTTCATCATGCACTCCATCCCCCTGAACCCTACCACCTACTTTGACCCCCAACACCCACCTTGGCCTGAACTGATACTCCAGGACTACATTTTAAGTGGCTAAGCCCAATTTAATCAGTTATCCAAACTCCATTTCTAGATTCTCACCTCACCACTGGCCCAATGCCTGTCCTAAATTCCATCCCCCATTAGAACTCTAACTCCAAGCCCAAGAGAAACCATGTTCCCTAGAAGGCTCCAAGAGTTCTTCTTCATCCCAACTCATCACCCCACACCCTTGTTACCTGTGAAGGTCTCAGTGCAGGGTGTGATGCCCGCCAGTCGTTTGGAGGTACCAAAGTCAGAAATTTTGAGCAGACCACTGAAGGTGTTGATGAGCACATTGTCCCCCTGATTGGTGTAGACATTGTGCTTAGTGCCTACCTGAACTGGGCCCTGACAGAATTGGACCTTCATCCTAGGACCCCCATTTCCTGGAGATCCCAGCCTGGCCTAGGATCTATCAACCTCTTCCCAATGCCCACACCATTTATAGGCCCCCCTGGGAGATGTGAACTTCTCCTCTCAGATCAGGAGATCTGAGGCTCTTCTTTCTTTAAAGAACCTCCATAACTAATTCCACCCTTTGCAAATGTTCGGCCCAATTTGTATTCAAACCTCCAGCCTCTGGGACCATGTTTCCC